ATCATCAGCCTATACACATAGCAGCTGATAGATGAGTAGGTAATCAGTGTTGTTACATACTCAGTATATGCTGGACACTGCTGTAAATATTTCATGCAGATTAAGCAATTTAATCTTCAAATAACTCTACGAGGTAGGTACTACTATTAATCCCATTTTTTTTAACATATGAAGAAACATTTAAATGTTTCAGGCCTCACAGTTAGTAACCAGAGGAATCAGAAGATATCTCAGGAAATCTATATCTGCACATATAGTAGTCCCCCCCCTTATCCACTGGAGATATATTCCAGGACCCCCAGTGGATGCCTGAAACTGCAGATAATACCAAACTCTTTATATATTGTTTTTTTCCTATACATATGTACCTATGATAGTATAATTTATAAATCAGGCACAGGAAGAGATTAACAACTAATAAAATAGAACAATTATAATGATATACTGTAATAAAAGTTATGTGAATAGTTTGGGGCCATTATTAAGTAAAATGAGGGTTACTTGAACACAAGCACTTCGATACTACACCTGTCAATCTGATAACTGAAACAGCTACTAAATGACTAACAGGCATGTAGCATATACAACGTAGATACACTGGACAAAGGAATGACTCATTTCTTGGGCTGAATAAAGTGGGATGGCATGAGATTTCATCACGCTACTAAGAACAGTGGGCAATTTAAAACTTAAGAATTGTTTATTTCTGGAATTTTCCATTTAATATTTTCAGACCACAGTTCACCATGGGTAACTCAAACCACAGAAAGCGAAATTGTATACAAGAGAGACTACTACATAACAACCACTGTGCTATAAGCAACACTATAAATAAAGAGAATAAAGGAACGCTAGAGGAAAAAGAGAATGAGAAGGAGCTGTCAAGAGGAAAACCAGAAAAGCATTGTATCATGAAACCTAAAGGAGGAGAGAACTTTAAGGAAGAAGTGATTGTAGGTATTGAGCTTGCAGGAGGTTAAGTAACTGATTATAGCTATATTAAAAAGAAAAAAAAAAAAGCCCACCAGAGTTAGCAAATAGGAAATCATAATGACTGAGAGATTTCCTGATGTCTGAGAGGTAGAGGCATGAGGATGCTACACAGATGGACAGGTGGGGAAATATAGTGTACACAACTCTTCCAAGAGAACTGCGAAGAGGAGAGAGCTAGAACTTAAGGTAAAGATTTTCATTTTTTAAAGGGGAAGAATTTGGAGACTATTATATGTCAAAAGAAAAGTCAGTAGAAAATGAAAGTTTTAAAGACACAGGACTCTGAACCTGTGACATTGACTATGAATGTGATGAGAATGAACGCTGAACAGAGACATTTTCAATCCATGATTTCTAACCTCGGATGGCCCTCGATGCTGCCTAGCAACTCTACTATATTTCCACAGTCCATTCACTCTCCCATTCACTAGTACAGTGGTTCTCAAAGGGCTGTCCCCAGACCAGAAGCTGCAACATCACCTGGAAACTTGTTGGAAAGGCAAGTTCTCAGGCCCACCCAAGATCTCCAGACTCAGAAACTCTGGATGGGGCCTTCACAGACTTTCTAGGTGATTCTGATACATTATCAAGTTTGAGAACCACTGCCCTAGATGACTAGTTTATAACTCCTCCTATCTCTCTAAATTTCCAAACTTCCCCCTTCATCCTTGACTCAATCTAAGCTGACCTTGCTGCCTAATTCAATGAGAGAATAAAGGCCACCAGGAGAAAATCTCCACCAGTTTCTACCACATTCATTCACCTCTCTGCACCTGTGCCCAAATATTATGCCTTCTCTCTTCTTCCTTTAGATGAACTCTTTGTGCCCCTAACCAAGCCAGGCCCTCACTCTGTATTGGATCCCATCCCTTCTCACCTCATCAAGGACATTGCTTCAGCTACTCTCCTCTCTCTCCAACATCATCCTCACCCTCTACTAGATCTTTATCAACAGCATAAATATAGTTATTTTTGCCATTTAAAAAATATTTTGGGGGTGGCTCCATAGTGTAGTGGTTATCATGTCTGCTTTACATGCAGAAGGTCCTGGGTTCCCACCCCAGGTTGAGCCACGGACCATACCCCAGTGCACCAGGCCCCGGGTGCACCGGGGCCCCCTGAGTGCTCCAGGAGAGCCAGTCCCTGGGGACGCCAAGCCCAAGCGTGTGAGAGGAGACACCCCGCCTTCAGAGATCCGGTTCTTAAGGGGAAATGGCAACATCCATAAGTCAGGGTTTGAAGTAGGTGGGGCGGGGGGATTAAAGCG